GCCACTCGCACCAAGGAAAGACTACGTCCGTCTCGCCTTCCCTGAAGGCACCACGAAAAAAGAAAAAATGAAATGGCTACAGGACCTCGGCAACCCCTCTTTGAACCTGCTGTGTACACCCATTGACCTTGGAATTCACAAGGCCATTTGAGTGTACAAGGATGGCCAACCATTAAACCGAATCCGCATCGTATGGCAAGGAGAGCAACCCCCTCCAAGTACATACAAATTCATCGGAAAGTACATGCCCATCAGCCCCGTGCGGCCGATGAGGACATCCCCTGTTTTATGCTACAACTGCATGGGAAGCGGCCATGTATCTAAGTATTGCAAGAATAAGGCACGCTGCGCAGCATGTGGCGAGCAACACACTGCCAAGGAGTGTCCTCGCAGTGCTGCAGGGCGAGAGCCTATTGCAGATGCATCGAACTTTGTCCCATCCTGCTTCAGGTGTGGAAAAACAGGTGTGACTGCCTGGCACTGGGGGGTGCACAGTCCTCCCTGCCCTGGCACCTCCCCCCCCCTCCTCCTGTGGCCACAGCACTAACTGCGAGTGACCAGTGCGGCCCACCCTGCCCTGGCCCCTCCCCCCCAGCACCTACCGCGAGTGACCAGCGCGGACCTCTTAGCCCAACCCGCGGCCAGCGTGCCAGGGGAGTGCCCGACTGTGCTGTGTGTGACGTCACCAGTCGCAGCGACTTCCCGGGGCTGCCGGCGAGTGGGGATGTAGAGGTAGCCGAACTACGCGACACAGTTGCGTTGTTAACGGAGCAGGTGAACAAGATGATGCTAATCATCACAGAGCTCAAGACCGCGACCCCCCTCCCCCCCCAGGTGCCCGCCGAGGCGGCCGTCCGTCACCCTCGGGCAGGGATGACCGCAGGCCTGGCCGGGGAATCCCCCGCACAACCGCATGGAAGAAGTGACGTCACGCTAGCTGACCATAGTGACATAAATGTGCTGGAGCTTTTAAAGGAAATCAAAGCTCTGAGACAAGAAAACAATAACTTGAGACAGGACAAGGAAAAAATGAAAAAATGTTATTGCCGAGATACTAGTGCTGCTATTAGTGTTAAAGAAACGAGCAAGCAGATACGATGTCAGGACATCAGTGCTGATAACCAGAGTGGGCGTGTCTGCGCTGACAGCAGCGACGAACACTACCACGATCCCTGCGGCACCGAATCAGATGAGGAGTCCAGTGACGTCACTAGCCCCCCAGGTACACCCAGCACAACCGAGGGGACTGTGCTAAGAAGTGGGACAAAGTTAAGACCTACTCTTTGACATGGTTAAAATTACTTTTAAGCTTAGGACAATCATCTGTAATAGAATCTACATTATTCATGAAGTTATATGTTTCTTATGTGGACCTAAATTCCGTAATATTAATGGATATAAGCGCGTGAAGTACAGATTACATAATAATACACTACTCGCATATGGATAAAGGCACAATTAAATTCATATGGAATATGCGTAGTATTAAGCCTAGGCTGAGTGACCTAGACTTTTATATTCGTAAATATAATATTGATGTAATTTGCATGCAAGAACCTTTTGCTGCTGCTGCTATGAAAATTGCATTAAGAGATATCATTCTTATGTGAATACAGCCATGACTGGATTTTTGACATATGTGAAGGTAACAGTGCCACATAAATTAGGTAAAAAATCCGCGAACACTGATGTTCAATTTCATCATTTAAAAATTCAGACTACCTCTGGGTATTTTTCACTATATAATGTATATACGAGATCGTCAAAATTTCTGGCTAATTCTTTACCCAATTTTCACAACCAAGGCACGTTATGCATGGGCGACCTTAATGCAAAGCACCCACACTTTGGAGACAGCCAGAGTAATAGTAATGGGGAAGAATTCAAACATTTTATTAATAATAGATCACTGACAGTATATGACAGAAATAGAAACTCATTTGGGAGGTGGCAGGTTAGATTACGTATTTGGCAGAAATCTAGTTCATGGTAATGTCTGTACTTCACTGGTGCGAG